TATATTATATATATATACTATATATATATATATATATATATATATATATATTATATATATATATATATATGTATATATATATAAATATATAATTATATATATATATATATATATATAGCCATTCAGTTTATTCTTTTGTTGTGGATCAGATGCATTCATAAGGACAATACACAAGCATCGTCGTAGCACAAGCTATCAACCTATGTCGTCCCAATCGCCGCCTCTATAGCACAGTCTTGGTATATGATCTATACCCTCGCTAACTATCCGCTTTATTCAGATACTTTCTTGTTCACATATGTCCCTCACAGGTCCATTCATATACCTCTACCCTCACACTCCACACTACAGGCACAGTTCTCTACGATTAAAGTCGGCACTTACAGCCGTGGCCAGGGCTACTTCACATAGCTTCACTAGTGTCTCGGCTGCACCTGTCCTTGACCTTCGCGCAAACATCCTACGCTCCAATGGCGCTGTGTTGTCGATGCCATCTGTCAAACACTTCAGCGTATCGCACAGCATCCGTACAAACGATGGTGTGTACTTTGTGTGTGTGTGTATGTATGTGTGTGTGTACGTGTGTGTTTGCGTGTGTGTCTGTATATACTATATAATATATATATATATATATATATATATATGTGTGTGTGTGTGTGTGTGTGTGTGTGTACGTGATATATACACTTGTATGTGTGTCTGAAGTATGGTGGCATGTAATGTGTGTGTGTGTGTATGCGTATCTGTGTACACCATTTAAGTGTGACATGGCTCGTATCTTTAGACACCACCAGGAACATTTCATTTTCGTTATCGTATAATGTAATTATGTATCTATGTATGCTGGTCTTCACTTATCCGCGGATTAAGCTCAATTTGTGCAAGTAGCTTCTCGTTGTGCATGTGTGTACCTGGACGCAATGGATGGTTCACTCGTATGTGTATGTGTACATGTACATATACCTCTGTATGTATTTGTCTGTGTTTGCTATGTCTGTATGTTCAAGATGTTGTTATATACTCTGCGTGCGAATGTGCATGTATGTGCATCTCTCTGTACGCCATTTAGGTGTATACCAATATACGTATATGTAGGTATTCACTAAGATTCTGGCTCAAGTATTGCTGTTTCCACGCGATGTGTGTGCATGTACATATGTGTTTAGTTCGTCAATCTAGGTGATCTATGTCCGTTTGCTATATGTGTAGATATACATGTATACCGTATACGTCATATGCCCGTATTCTCTATGTTTGCGTCACAGTAATGATGTTCTGTACATCGTGTGTGTACCCGTATACTGGCCATACAGGTATATACATGTTTGTGAAGGTACTCGATATATCTCTTTGTTTATTTACTTAGAAATGATCACATAGTGAAGGTATAAGTGTCATCAGTATGCTACATATAGGCGGGTGTACAATATCTCCATATTTGGTGTCTTAGGGATCCCCACATACCCCACATGTGTGTGGAAGGTATGGGTGGTATCAATCTACCTGTCGTATGTGAATGTGTGTGTCCACTATACCTGTGTCGCAGGCGTGATAGTAAACGCCCTATGTCTGTACACGCATAGATAGTAGCAGGGTATTCCGTCGGTGTGAATGTGCGGATGTGTTTCTATCCGATCACATCTCATATCATACTCTCTGTATTGTTTTCAAACTAACTGTTGCTGAATAAATCAACCTTCCTGATGAAGCCAAACCTGCACAAGAAGCATCAGTACGCGCACGTTTCTATGCCGAAATACAGAAGGGTCTAGCAGATGATCCCATCCTATCGGTAGGTTATTAATGGGGAGAGAGACTTAAAACTACTCTTATGTTTCAGTTAATATATATATATATCTAATTATATATATATATATATATATGTATATTTATATGTATATTTATATGTATATTATATATATGTATATTTATATGTATATTATATATATATATATATATATTTGTATATTTATGTGTGTGTGTGTGTGTATGTATGTATGTATGTATACATATATATATATATATATATTATACATGTTGTTTATTACTACGTATCTGTTATTTTATACAGGTTGTTTTTTACTACGAATTTGTTATATTTTGCATATTGTTTATTACTACGGATCTGTTATATTATACATGTTATTTATTGCGTATTTGTTATATTATACATTTTGTTTATAACGTATTTGTTATATTATATATGTACTAATTATATTTCACCTTTTTTTTTCTCCACAATACTTTAGAAACGAGAAGACTTCTTTCCGGAGGTGCTCGAAATTCTCGATGTGGTTGAGAGTGGGTCTGGTACCATGACCGAGGCAACGGCAAAGTGTATGTAAACGATCGGCTCCTGAGTGAGCATCTCGTATATATATACATATAAATGTATGTCATATATATATATATATGTATATATATAGATATATTCGTTCAGGTGAAAGTGTCATCTGCAAATGTGAAAGCTGTGTGTTCAATTATTGAGTGTCCGCAAATTTAGTGTAAATAATCATTTTCGCGATCACGGAATAGGTACAAACTCATAGGTATACATATACATATATTACTGTACTAGTTGGTGTGACATTGAAGTGCATGCGTGTGTCCTTAATATAGATGCAATATGGTATATATGGTTTACTATAAAGTGAATTTTATTTTGTGGACTCTATATGCAGCTGCAATATTCTATATATAGTTTACTTTTCCATATAGTTGAATACAATGTTCTTTCTATGGACAAATCTTTTTATAGTTAACTATATATAGTAGAATACAGTGACCTATTTGTGGTAGACTATAAATGGTTGAATAAAATATTTTATACACGGTTGACTCCGTATATACGCGACTACAATAATCTCACAGTGCTGCCCGTACCTTCCTTCCGATACAGTTGATGATCAGACCATCATGGCCATGACTATGAAGATGGTTCAGTTGCAAAGTATGTATCAAGTATGTATATATATATATAATTATATATTTATGTATAGATATTCCCATACTACATATGTATGTATGTATGTATGTATGTATGTATATATATATATACATATATATTTACATATACATATATGTATATATATATATAATTATATATATATACATATATATTTACATATACATATATGTATATATACATATATAACTGCACGCAAACGCAAATGCTCACAGACACAATCACATACAATCATGCACACGCGTTTGCATTCACGCACACCCTATTGCCTGGAAGCGCGTGCGGGAACAATCTTGTTGGCAAACGCACATCTTGATTCACAACCACAAATGTAGTCTTGATTTTATCAGGCATGTATTGATAAATCTTGTGTAGTAAACATGTATAAACAAATTTAGTTCAGCATGCATCTATGATTAATTTAGTTTAGCATGTATGTATGAATAGTCCTTGTTTAGTATACATGTATGTAGAACAAACTTAGTTTAGCTTGCAAATACATTGAATAAAGCTAGGCTAATTTAGTATACATGTATGTAGCGTGCATATACGTAGAATAAACCTAATTTAGCATGCATGTAGAAAAAACCTAAACGGGGCCCCATATTCATGTGCAGACAGACACACAATATTGCTCGCGTCGATGTCAGGTCATGTTTTATGCGCTCTCTCAGCTCATACTAAATACAAACATTAACCTCTTATCAGTAAACTTACTTAATCTACGCCAATTGGTTCAATGGAATTAATTGACACTGCAGTATATCCGCTAAACCGACCGATTAGTAGTGCAGAGGATTCCTACAACTATATGTCTATTGGTTTGCACTATTTAGTAAATAAGGCAGGGTATGGCGAAGCCGATAGTGTATATATATATATATATATATATTAATCTAATGGCATCATCACACAGGTAACCCGGACGCCGAAGTGTCATCGCTGGCGAGTGCGGCTGCTGCGCAGTTGCTTAAGGCAGGTGCTGCGAGAAATAATACTGATGCCATGTTTGGTTATGCTAATCTGCAACGAAATGGAAGTATGTGACTCTACGACCACTTCTTTATATTGTGACTTACATTAATAAATCATATGAGTTGTGTATTTCTGTTTATATGTTGTATCAGTCGGTTGATACATGTAATTGGCGGTGTAAAATTTCGTGAAAGGAAGTATTCCTATTGTGGAGTTACACATACTGCTGTTTGTGATTTTGTCTATATATATTCGTATTTGTATATTTGTATGTATATTTATATATATTTATGTATATGTATATACATACGGATATATTTATATATATATACATGTATATTTATTTGTATATGTATATATGTATATGTATATATTTATATATAAATTCACAAAGCTTGTATTTTTCAAGATTTTTCCATAAATGTGTTTTATTAGTTATATTTCTGTTTACTCAGACGAAGTTTATACACTCTCGCAGCAGGTACTCTTCAAATGTGTACTTCTCAGTTTGTCTTAAACCTGACATACTATGCTTCTATCACGCACTGTATAAAAACTTACACATGCGTACTGTATAATCAGATGCTGACACATGTTGATGTATTTGAGCATGTCACTGACACGTTCTATTTCGTTATGTGGTGCGTGTTATAGTCTTTGGCGTCGAGAAGGATATTAACAGCGCTGTGGAAGCATTCACTATTCTCGCAAAGAAGGTAGGTGTGATGTATGCACATAAACACACACATATATATGTATATATATATATATATATATATGTATAAGTAGCTATATCTAGCGTATATATGATGGTACTGATACATAGGCGTGCGTGAAGTAGTACAGAGACATGCTTCTTTACAAGTACTTGTAGTCTGTTGCCGTAGTGTTGTCCTACGTTCTATGTACTGTACTGCGCACTTCTGTAGCACTAGTGGTATAGTACGCGCGAACACGTCAAGTAGCAATCATGCATATCCTTCGTGAAGCAGCACCGCGGCTTACACTACTGTGTGGTTAGTATTTTTAAAACACTAGAGTACACAAACACACGCATAGCCTGTGTGTTTGGTGAGTTGGTCACAGACACTCGCCAGTTGCGAGTGGATGAGCTTGGTTTCAAACCGAGTTTTAAGTATACCTACAAAGATAGCTGATAGGTATAGATTATAGGTAGGTAATGTACTTACATTCATGATGGTATCTATTCAAGAGGTTTTTACAGATGCACCGTATATATATTTTATTTATATTTATATATTTGTGTGTGTGTGTATATTTGTATGTATATATACAAATATACACTCTTGTACTGGTACATATCACAGGGCCATAGATTTGCCCAGACTATCTTGGGCGAGATCTACTTCAACGGCGAGAATGAGGAAATCAACACACCCGCTGACGCGGTGATAGACGCAGAGGGTAAGAAGATGAGGAGATACGAAATGGCTCTCTCCTTGTTCGAGACAGCTGCAAAGAACAAGGTACATATGCGAAACGGTGTACTAGATTAGCCCTGGGTGCCTATAAATAGCATAAGGCCAATCTATTTTTAGATGCCGAATGGGTTGCGAGGAGGAATGACATACTAGTAGCCCTGGGTGCCTATAAATAGCACACGGCCAAATCTATTTTTAGATTGTGGTGTGGCATGGGAGCAAATATATTTGTAGCACCGTCAGTACTTGCCATCAGTATCTATTTTTAGCACAACCAATATCATTGGTAGTTATTTATAGCACACCGCCCCTCCTGTCTTCAGGTGCCGAATGCGTATCATTTCTTGGGAGAGATGTACTCCAACGGCCTCGGGTGTGAGAAGGATATGAACAAAGCCATTGAAAGCTACAAACAAGGTGTGTCTTTATATCGCCTCTCCTGAGCATTGTTTGTTGATTGCGTGTGTGTATGTGTGTGTAGGCTGTCTTCGCCCGTGTCGTCAAGTCGGGATACCCGTCTTGACTTGTGGCCCATTCCTCCTTATTTGTCTATTTTGTGCGTATGGGAACTGTGCTTGAGTCTACGGCTGCCATCTGTCTTTACCTGTGTCTATGTCCCTCGATTGGTTGCGAGTAGGTGGTTCTAAAAATAGCTTAGTCGCAGCTGCTGGCGTCTCCCATTTACTTTGTTCTGGGAGTGTGGTTTACTATTTCAAGAGTCTGTACATGGCCTCCACTCCTTTTTTTGTCTATTGTAGGTGGGTGGGTGGTTGTGTACGGGAACTGCGTCTGTGTCTACGGTGGAATTATGTCTTAACCTGTCCCTCGATTGTCTGCGCGCAAATGATTCTTCCCGGCACAGCCGGTCACAGCTGCTGGTCTCTTGTGTTTACCTTATGTGAAGTGGTTGTTTGTTGCACGGATGAGTGCATCGTTTCCATTCCTGTGTATTTGTCCATGGTAAGTGTATGGGTGCAATATTATGTGGGTTGAGTGATTGACATTATGTATGCACTCTAGAATAGATATAAATATATATATATATATGTATATAAATATATAATACTTTCTTTACATTTAATGTTCTCAAAGGCTTTGAAGCAGGCTTCCATCAATCTGCATTGGCCCTTGCCAGGGCTTACTCCCAACCTGGACCTGAGCAGTCGTATCATGATGCCTTTGAATGGCATACGGTATGTTTATTGTGTACGCAAGTATTTGTGTGTACCAATTTATATATATATATATGTATATATGTGTGTGCGTGCGTGCGTGTGTGTGTGTTTGCATATATCTA